ACGGGGAACTTGAAGCCCTCCTGGTGTCGCACCATTCTGTTATTTTATTACAAAAAGAGTTGTAGAACATCTCCGTTTTTTTCTCAAACAAAAACACCCCAATCAAATATATTTTGTTTCAAGAGGGAGTTTGTGATATCACGACCTCAACATTTTCTATTTTGGTAAAACCAAAATGGTTCCTAATGAAAAAAGTTCAAGAAATGAGGTACAAAATATATGATCAGCTCGACCATAACCAAATGGACATCCCCATTTTAAAAGGGATTTTAATGGAGAAGATAAAAGGCATAAATAAACCACCTTGCTAATTCAGGTTCTGTTCTTATCTAAAATTAGTTTTCAACCGGTTACCTCGAGTACTTAAATATTTAAAACTTTACATCTTAGGTATCATAATAGAGGTTTTGAGAATACGTTACCCAAAATAGGAATCAAGTTAAAATACGTTTTCTTTTTACACACTATGATATATATGTACATAGGCATATTGTCCAAACTTTGACCAAAAGACGAATAATTGTTGTCCGATTTAATTAGTATGGCCCTACGTACTTGCAAATTGCAATCACAACTCCATTATTGGTAATGACATGATTGCAACTTCATCTTTTTGGGTTGTTTTACAATTTTTTAAGATCTAAATCCGAATTTATTTTCCTTTTATTGTCATATGTTTTTAAATTGACGATCTTAACTGCGTTCAATTGCCTAAGGTTCTTTGCCTTCATTTGCATGTAAATATAAGTGAGCATGTAACTGATTATACAATGTCATATGCGTTTCTTCCAATGAATTCATCACTTTTCTCCAATTCATCTTTAATTCTGCTAACCCACATGCATAGATTCAAACAATCAGATAAAATTAGGCTAACGAGAGATCCATAAATGAAGTTAACCTGGTAATGCAGGTGAGGACGCGCTTGGAGACGCTTAAATTCATCAGGCATTTCGAAATACTTTTCCATCATACTAATAAATCGATCATCATCTTCAGCAGAGCATCGTGGATCCTTGACGAGTAGAACTCCAGTCTCTCTTAGGATTCAACTGACCTCCGAGCATACCTTCTCCAATTCGGGATTCAGAACCCCGTCCAAGCAAAATTCGCCAGATACACCATCCACATACGGCGTCAGATCAATCACCGGAATATCCATCACCCTGATTAATCACTCGTTTTCTGGAGAGAAGTGAAGCAGTGGTGCACTCCATGATCATGCATTTAATTATAGTGTGTGGAGATTTTTCTTTTGGGATGATGCTTGGAGATTCCATTTCTGCCACAACCACACATTTGCAATTATTTTGGATAGTATGACGTCATGAAATCTAACTTAATTCTACGTCATTGATACCTTACGACTATGAAGAAATATCAAAACCCCTCGATCTTGGTGGACTTTTTGTCTGTAGAATAACAAGCTTTAAATTGAGCAAATGGTCCCTAGTTTATCTGACAATTTACAAAACACTTCCCCTATAAAATATCTCTTTTTATATGAATTTGGTCCCTTGACATAAAGGTATTACTCATGTTCATGTGTTGTGCACATGCCAATGATACTAGGCTAAACATGATATTCTATTAGTTATATATTATATATATATATATATATTATATATATATATATATATGGGTCATTCAAAGAAGTAAAAGTGTGTTTTCGCGTTCTCGTTTGAAACATTTCCTCTGTGTGTGTGTAAAACTTTATATAAGTTTTCAATTTGATAAGTTAGAAATAATATGACAAGAAAAAATATAAGAAATATTGTGGAATTTATATGGACCTCCATTTGAGATGCTCAGGCTATCGAAACAACAAGATAGCATCCGTGAACAATGTTCACCAGTCACACATACGCACACATTCAGGTATGTTTTGCTAATGAACATTTTCATATATGTTATATTTTCATTGGTGAACAATGTTCATAAGCTACTCATATGTAAAAATTGTTCATTAATTGACATCATTCATAAGTTATACATTACATATTAATAAATGAAGAAATAATTAAAGCTTGATGTCAGTTTCAAAACGATGGAGCAGTTACCGAAAAAGTAATTAATGTTAAAAGAAATCTTCCTATTTTTTTTTCCAAAATTACCCTTTGTTGATGATTGTTCGTCTATGTTTATTAAGCATTCTTTTTTAATTTGTTACAAAAATGTCATGATAAATTTTATTCTTAGATTACGAGTTATGGCGAGTCCATGACGTTTTTCAAGGCGTGTCTTAAGACGACATATATAGTATGTGTATATATATATATATATATATACATACCCCCACACTCACACTTGTGTATGCTAGTGTTTTGAATAATACTATATAACAAATTAAATCATATAAAGTAATAAAACTAAAAATAAATACTATTGATACCAAATATAAAAATGGTATTAAAACCTCACCTTACTTTTATTTTCCTGTTCTTCCAATTTATTCATTATTCTTAAAGTTGTTTCTTGTCTTATTTTAATGATGAGAAATGTTAAACCTTTGAAATAAATGGAAAAAATAAAACAAAATTATGAGTGTTTATTTTTTAAAATCTTGAAAATCGGTTATTATTCCTCTGTATATGATGGCATCAAGATGTTTATGTAAGAAATTGATAAAATTATATTTTGTTATTACATCTACTATCCATCACGGAATCAACCAGAAAACCAAAAAAATCCCCTAGAAAGGAGGAATTTGGTCCAAAACATGTCAGGCATAAGACGTAGTCTTGCGTTTGGCTCAAAAGCAAACTTGATTCCTTTTGTAAAAATGTATTGTATCAAATCGACACAATTGAATTTTCACCTGGTCAAACCATGTTGACTTTCCCTAGATTAAAACACGACTTTACAGGCCTTGGATTGACCTTATAGGTGGACACGTGAGTCCGCCACAAATGAATTATATATCATACGAGTTTTAATAAAAACGGTGGTTTATGAATTGCATTTTTAACATCACGAATGTTTCATAATAACCATGTTATTATAAGCATTAACGAGCATGTATTAACCACAAAGGTGATGCCTGATTGGTTTGAGCTTGACTCCAAAGGTCAAAAGTACCAGGACGTCCCAGGTTCAAATCCAAGGAGGAATAAAAATTCCCTTGTGGCCACAGAGGTTCAAATGCGGTGACTCCGGGCTATATGCAAAGCAGGTGGTCGCTCTGTGATTAGAAGTCTCACATAGCAGGTTGGATATCCACGTTAATCAAAAACAAAAACAAGCATGTACAATATTGGTGTTTGAACTCATTTATGTGAAGAATTAAACATCGACAAACCGTGAAGTTACTACCAAGAATCCACCCATCCGGATTGTAACATGTGGCGAAATTATTCCACTTTGGTAAATTGTTTGTGTTTCTATCATATATATGGTTGCACAAGTCGTTGTATTTTCCATCAGCGGTTTACCATTAGAGTCATTCACCAACATCTACTTATCAACCATTGTTTTAGAATGAAAACTAGATACATTTAAAGACTTACGCAAAAACATATACATAGCAACTAAAGTTGCGAAATGATTTCGACAAACTATACGTAAATTCCTTGTTGGTTTATTCAATTCCCTCCCATGGACCTTTCTAATGCTGATCTCCCCCTTTTTCATTTAGTTTAATAACAGCAAGTTCTTTCTGGAAATATTCTCCAGCATATACGGTCGGGTACTTATCAACGAGAGGCGATTGTGCAAAATGCCCCAGAGGCTTCATCACAGCATCAGATGCTACAGCTGAAAACAACTACGACCAAAACAAACAACAAACCAAGTGAGATTTATTTTGAATGGGATATATTGGGTTTGAAGTACGGCTTTGTTTTCAAATAGAGCAAGTTTAAAAGGTTTCACAAGTGAGATTTATTTTGCTATAAATGCGATGATATTGAAGTAAAAAATGCAATTGGTTCGATGCAGTGCTACTCACTGTTGAGGATACTCTCCAAAGGCTTCGCTTTTCTTCTTGTGCTGCTTTAATTGCTTCGATTGTTTTTTTAGTTACCACAACTTCATGCAAACCAGCCATACAGTCTCCAGCAGTCACCCATTCTAACTGCAAATCAAAAACAATATATATCCCACATGAAACCAAGTTTCAACATTAGCTTGTAAGACTCAAGATTATAACCATAAACCATAAAGTTAGATCAACAAGATGCAAATTACAATGCTAGTAAGGAGACAAGAACTTTTTGCATAATAAGAACTAATGAACATTTTGGTTAGATTCATGCAAACCAGCCACACTATCCTTTTTGGGCTAACTTTCTCTCTTTCACACATTTTCTCCAAACTCGGGGTCATCATAGAAACAGCTCATCTACCTTTTGAGTAGAGATCAAGTCAACGTACATAATACCCGAAGGCGGATACTGTCAGACCCCACCTTCGGGTAAGGTATATATACTAAGCTCGTTTGATTTGGTTATTCTTTGTTTGGTGTAAAGAAAGTGACTGAAAGCTAGACAAATCATATCAAATCCACCGCACGTTAGATTTGGAATCAATGTTCGACCTATGTAGTGGTAACTAGTTAAGCTAAAGTAACATGATCATTTTGAGTTTGTTTACAACATCTTGAACCAAGAGAATGTAATTAGATTTATTACCTGCTTTCCTGTCTGAACAAGTAGACACCCTTCTGGAACCTTCACTTCTACTTTCTCCCCATTCCTTAGCCAAATGTATAGACCAGGGAATTTACTTCTGTAATGAATTGTTAGAAAGTTAAGGTCATAATGATATCCTGCAAAAATTGTACCCTCTTTGCCATGACTCCCAAGGTCACCCCCTGTTGGAGAAAGAAGATGTGGACCCTGCAAGTCACAAATCTCTGGTTTAATTTTGCAGTGAAATATTGACCAACAATTTATTTAATTTGTAATCAAAAGATCAACTACTTGGGATCACATATATTATGAAAGAACTACCAGAGATAAAAAGAAGCACACTAGTGTAGCATTAGGCATCAGGTTCTCATATCAACAACTCTTTGAACCCAAATCCAAATGAGATTGAGCTTATTTAACCTTTTATATACTCATAATTTTATCTTCTATTAAGGATCTAGTGAGATCAATCATGATTAATATAATATTTCAACTTCCAGTTTGACCACCAGAAGCCACCAAAAAGCCGAGTGGTGTTTACCAAAATATATATATATACATATATATATATATATATACATATATATATATATACATATATATATATATATATAAAGAGACTCACATTCTTCAAGAGATTGGTGAATGCATCTTTTGGTAGGCCAAACCCAATTGCTGCCATTTCAGCAACAGCCTGAGCAAATCAAATGAAARTRTATGAACCTCAARAAATAAAAACAACATGATGTAGGAAGCTAATGTCAGACGCCAGTAACACACCTCTACAGCAGACATCAGTTTATAACCCCATGAATTCATAGTGTCTTCCCACTCAGGGAAACCTTCAGGGATGATGTGGTCGGCGTTCAGGTCCTATATTAAAGGTAAACACCATCAATAATCATCAAAAAAATTAGTGATACAAAAGGAGAAGAAATATATTAATTAGACCTCAAATCGAGTTGTTGRTGGTCGAGGGCCAATTCTCCACATGTATCGCCACTTAAGATCTGCACCTGTTGGAATCAAAGGTTGGTGCTCTTTGGGCAATGAGCTCGCCTTCTTTAGCATATCTTTAACAGCCAAACTACGGGGAACTTCAAGTCCTCCTGGTGTCGCACCATTCTATTATTTTATTACACAAAAAATTGTAGAACATCACATTTTTTTGTCTCAAACAAAAACATCTCAATCAAATATATTTTGTTTCAGGTTGGTCTATAGCAAGAGGGAGTTTGTGATATCACGACCTCAATATTTTCTCTTTCGGTAAAACCAAAATGGTTCCTGATGAAAAAGTTCAAGAAATGAGGTACAAAATATGTGATCAGCTCGACCATAACCAAATGGACACCCCCATTTGAAAAGGGATTTTAATGGAGCAGATAAAAGGCATAAAGAAACCACCTTGCTAATTCAGGTTATGTTCTTATAAACTACCTCTCTATTCCAATAAAAAAAATTTGACAATAAACTACCTCTCTATTCCAATAAAAAAAATTTGACAATTAGACTTTTTTAGGCAGACCCCACTACTATTTGACCAAAATTAGTTTGGAACACCAACTGATCCAGAATTTGAATAGCCATATAATTTGACATGCATCACCCTTTTGCGGATAGGAATCATTGGATTACTTGATACTGTTCATGATGATTCCAACTTAATATATATCATAAAATGATTCTTTTAAGTAATGATGATGCATTTTGGTCTAAACCTGCCTACTATTAAAAGTTAGCAAATTGTGTGGAAAAAATCATACAAATTGTAATAAACCAAACATATTTTTATAAAGAACTTCGAACATACGACTATACTATATCGGTACATAGGCATATTTGTCCGAACTTTGACCAAATGACGAATAATTGTTGTCCCATTTAATTAGTATGGCCCTACGTACTTGCAAATTGCAATCACAACTCCATTTCTGGTAATAACATGATTGCACCTTCGTCTTTTTTGGGTTGTTTTAGAATTTTTTAAGATCTATTTTCATTTTATTGTTATATATTTTAAATTGATGACCTTGACGTCACTGTGTTCAATTGCCAAAGGTTCTTTGCCTTCATTTTCATGTAAATAATTATACAATATCATATGCTTTTCTATTACTTTTCTCCAAATCATCTTTAATTCTGCTAACCCACATGCATAGATTCAAACAATCAGATAAAATTTGGCTAACGAGAGATCCATAAAATGATGTTAACCTGGTAATGCAGGTGAGGACGCGCTTGGAGACGTTTAAATTCATCAGGCATTTCGAAATACCTTTCCATCATACTAATAAATCGATCATCATCTTCAGCAGAGCATCGTGGATCCTTGACGAGTAGAGCTCCAGTCTCTCTTAGGATTCGACTGACCTCCGAGCATACGTTCTCCAATTCGGGATTCAGAACCCCGTCCAAGCAAAATTCGCCAGATACACCATCCACATACGGCGTCAGATCAATCACCGGAATATCCATAACCCTGATTAGTCACTCGTTTTCTGGAGAGAAGTGAAGCAGTAGTGCTCGATATCGAACTCCATGATCATGCATTTATGGTGGTGTTAATGTGTGTGGAGATTTTTCTTTTGGGATGATGCTTGGGGATTCCATTTCTGCCATAACCACACATTTGCAATTCTTTTGGATAGTATGATGTCGTGAAATCAAACCGTAACCCTACGTGATTGATACCTTACGATTCTAAAGAAATATCAAAACCCCTCCATCTTGCTGAAGTTTTTGTGTACTGAATAAAACTTTAAATTGAGCAAATGGTCCCTGGTTTAACACTTCCCTTGTAAAATATCTCTTTTTATACGAATTTGGTTCCTTGACATAAGGGTATTACTTGATGTTCCTTACAAAGGCCATGTGTTGTGTACATGCCAATGATACAAGGGCAAAAAACACATAAATTTATTCTCTCACGAATACATTTTATAAGTTATATATATAGGGGCAGGTTCAAAGAAAACCATGTCATTCTAAAAAACCGTGTAAACCAAAATCGACCAATAGAAAAATTCCATTCTTTTTTAATTAAATTTAATCAATAAGGTCATTTTGGTCATTTTCATTATTATTTTCATAAATAAGGAAGTTATTAAGAAATATTAAATAAGGAAATTTAATAATGGAAATTATATAAATGGAATGATTTAAAGATTTTAATATTTTATAATATTAAAAATTGATTTGTTTTTTTTTATTCAATGAAGCTGGAAACATTCATGAAGATTTTATCTTGTTATGTAATGAATGAATGATTTGAGGTTCATTGTATAAAAAATTTATGAACCTGTTTCATATGAAAAGGTTTTAAAATGAAAAAGTTTCATATTACCATAGCATAATATATTAATGTTCATATGAAAATGTTTCATTACGAAGAAACGGTTGCATATTATATTAAATGCATAATGAAAAGGTTCCAT